CAGAAAAACCTCTGGAATTCCAAAGGGATTTCCTTTAAAAATCCTGAAATCGCGAAAACTCCCGCCAAAAAGTCCTGAAATCAGGAAAAAAAATCCTGACAAAAATATCCTAAAATCAGGGGAAAATTCTGACAAAATTTCTTAAAATCAGGAAAAAATCCTGACAAAATATCCTAAAATCAGGATAAAATCCTGACAAAATATCTTAAAATCAGGAAAAAATCCTGACTAATCTCACCACTGTTTTACAAACCTGACAATTTTTTCCCCACACTTTTTGTCAACTGGTATGTGCATGGTGGAGGTGTGGGATAGCATTTCAATTTTCTGTACACGTACCTGTCAGCTTCCGCGCAGACGTACACAAATACAGACATTCGCAGTGAAATGGAACCCTCTCCCTGAAAAACTGGTCTATCTTTGGAATCGTAACATAATCCTTGAGTAATTGGCCGGTTATTATTTCCCATCGACCCAAGCTCCATGTCCCTGGGATATCACTTGACACATTTCGGTCAAGAATTCGGCTCTTTTTGGGGGGGGGGGGGGGGGGAGAGAGAGCTGTTGAGCGGTTCAGCGTGTAAAATGAACGCTGCGAGTCTGCTGTTTCTGCCCCAACCTAATTTGTCCAAGGAGTGTGATCTTGTCGCTGTTTCGATCAGCCTCGCTGACGGGAACGTTGGGGAATCTAACGCAATCTCACTCCGGCTCCCAGAGTGGGGGAGGAGTCGTAGGGTGTGAAATCTCAGACTGGGAAGAAGTTGAGGAGGATGAAAATTCCCACGCACCGTGTGAAATGTGTTCTAGCCAGATGGTCCATTCAATTGAATACGAGTACATGTATGTGTATTGTACCGGTAGATGGGGCCTTTATGGAGAGTATGCATTGATCATTGAGTACAGTTTTCAATGCCACCCCCCCTCCCAAAAAAAAACCCCCAAGAGTACAAAAGGGATACATAAACTGCACAAATAAATAAAATTCAGCATTTATGTCATTACTAAATGTATGTCTGGTCGCATCAGTGTTGTGGTACTCTTACTAGAGTACATTTTTTTGTACTCGTACTCGTACTCGTACAAATTTAATCATGCTCGCATGAAAAAAAAAATTCCCTGTACTCGTACTCGTGACCAAGTACATGTACATTGTACGACACTCATACTCATGAAAATGTACTTGACTACATGTACATGTACATGTACAATACTGGGACGCATTCCTTTGAGATCAATAAACCTTCAGTATGAGCATTACAATACATGTGCCAATTTTGGAATGGCAAATTGAAATTTATAAATAAAATACTGTCTCCACAAGGTGACAACACTTCAACAACTGTTTGCTACCGGTAGTGCTGAATTCTCAACACAACATTAAATTTGTTTACTGCACAATAAATGTCAAGGCTTCTGAAGCCTAATTAAAGGACCGTGACTGTAAATTTACATGTAATACTACATGTACATGTATCAGATATCTTCGTGTCCACAAACTGCCCTGGAGTAAATTCATAACAAATTTACATCTCTATAACATGTACAAGTCTAGCTTGCATTCATGCACGTGGACCGCGTACAAATGTACATTTATACGTGTACGTGCTATATTCAGGCAGTAGTCGGGCACATCCTGTAATAATATTCCGAACGCCACTCTCATTAATATTCACACCATGGCCATCAGTCATTAGGGCAATCATGGCTAGGCCTGTGTGGTGACAGCACAGGGATATGTACATGCAGGCGACCAGTATGAGAAGGAGCCCATCTCATGATGAAACATAACATACACATGCCGTACATGTACCGGTACACACACCCTACGCAGATGATGCTTAAAGCAACTACTGCACCAATCCAATAATAAAGACCCCTCATTATCATGCAACTGGCTGTGGGGCTCTCTGGATACTCCCTCCCCCCCCCCCCCTCCTCCCTTCCTCATATTTCCCAGACTGATCACAACAACCAAGCGCAGGTACATCTACAAGACATCCAATTGGGGACTACAAGGAAAAAATGGGAACCTGCAGGACATAGTGTATGTACACACAGACCCGGCCCGGCCAGACAGAGCTGGAGCAATTATGCATGCGGTGACCAGGTCATGAGGCAAGAGACAGGGACCCGAGCGAGGGAGTAGAGAAACATTCCCTCAAATGTCACTAGGGTCTTCAGATCACTGGCCCAGGGTTGCAAGATTCCTGCAGTCGTCCACACTGCCGCTAAACTGCAACACTTAGTTGCAGCCAGTGTCTGTATTTTTTTAATATCCAAGGCGCATGAGGAACGAGTGCTGTTTAATGCTGCATCTATGAAATAACCCGCCAGCATGATGCTGTGACAGTATGCTGCGTCAGCGTGTGTGTGTGTGTGTGTGAGTGAGTGAATGTGTAGCGCATAATGCTCGGCATGGCTCGACTAGCTGGGTGTGGCCTAGGTACCTCAGGCTGTGCGACAGCATATATTGTGGCATGCTGACAAGTCCTGGCCAAGATGTGAACGCACTTTGGGGAATTTTTCTTTTTTCTTTCCATATAAACACTGGGGGCTAAATAGAATTAATCAAATGTACATGTAGTGCATTGGAGCACTAATGAAATATGGAACGGGTCCTTGGAGAAAGCAATTAATAGTAATATAAATCAATTTTTAGTTTCGAGCAACGAGCAAAGCGTGGTTTTGTAAGATGCATGAGTTTAAAGTGTCAACGTACCATTTTCTTGGGAATCAATCCTAAATTTGAAGGGAAAAAAACCCCAAAACCACATCTTTCGTTTTCTGCCCTTATTCTTACAGCCAGCTTTATTGCATCTGTTTCACTCATAATAAACACATTTCACAGACAGAGACCATAATCATGTACCGTATCTACATGTACATGGACATGGACATGGACATGTACATGTAGTTTTCTTTATGAGCTTGCATGAACATGTGTCCAAATTGGGGTGCCCTGCATTTTAAATCATCTCCCTTATTGCCCCTAACTGTCACAATTATTGTCAATTTTCAATGGTTGGCCTGACTCCAGGGTCAGTGAAATCAACGGTCTGTTCACTATATTAATGACCGGTGATATGCGATACCAAATTAGTATCAATTTTTTTATTTTCAAATGTAGCATTCAGCTTTTAAGGGTTCTTAAAAAAAGGACAATTCTGCCTACATGTCTTAACAGGTGAATGCATACTTTGTCTGAGATGCGCAGAAGGAGAATTAATTAGGCCAAGAAAATATAAAGCTGTGTTTCCTATTACACTGGAAAAAAAAATTGGTTGGGTAGGTAAAGTTTTATTATTTTTTTTTTTCGCTCTGAATTTTATAGCCAGCGAAAAATAGGATGAGATGATGGTCGATTCATTTTTTTTTTAATATTTGTTTTTGCATGCATTCGTAACAACTGTTCATTATTTAAAAATTCAGGATGATTTCAGCATAAACTAGGGAGGAGCGGCACCATACGTTTTTATTTTTAAATTTGTTTTGCAAAAAACACAAATTTAGGTTCTGCATGATTTTCTAGGTTGATTGGGGAAATAGGAAACACGGGTATTTTCCTTCTTGGCCATAATGGATGCATGCATGCATGCATTCTGCACAGAAGTGTGACATCTCAATTCTAATGCTCCAGAAAAAAAACCCTACTCTCGCCTCTTTGACCTTCCAAGGAACCTTCCAAGACATTCTGGTCTCTCTCTTTCGCTTCAGCGATTTATCAGCTAGCCACAGGGTCATCTTCTATACTGGCATGCAAGAGTGGTCAGTTGCTGGCCATTTGTTACCAGTCACTCAATGGGGTTGATTTAAGATTGGTTAGGCCAAGACAAAATTGAGATGGGAAAGGCCAAGACAAGTGTCTGCATGGTCTGTAAAGACTAGTCTAATTGGGAGGACACAGAGGTACCGGGAATGGGACTACTAGAAATTTGAGGTCTGGATACAGATGGTGAATGTGCTTAAATGGCAATTGAAGAGCTTTACCATTTAGCATCATACCAATATTACTTCCGTTCTCATACATATAAAGAAGAAGAATTTATCATTGTGTTTAATAAAGATGAGGACAAAAATAATGTGACATTTTTTGGGTCAAATTTTGTCCCTCTTTGTGAAAACATCGACGAGTTGACTGCATTTGGGTGTAAATTGGCAATTCCAATCAAAATTTACGTGATGACACCAGCACTGTTAACACACACAGTGCAAGAGCATAGTAACGGTATACACCTTTAAAAAACACAACTATACAGTACATGTACATTCAGCTAAATGATTTTGAAATTCGACGACAGGCATCTTCTGCAGTGGCACCAGGCTTGCGTGAGTCGTACTCCGGTAGTACACACGCACTCAGGGCTTCTTTAGGGTCACCAAAATGCGTGCACGCCTTCTTTAAGAACGCGTGTGGCAAGCGCGCGGGCGTGGCACCACCACAAAAACAGATTCTAATGTTGTTCGGCGAAATACACTATATGAACAGATACTAATTCAAATATGACCACATACATTATTTACACAGTAGTTGGAAACCAGACTAGAAATTCTGGTTTGTAGTAATACATACAGTATGTACAATACTGGACAAGCAAGCTTGCAGGCAGGTTGCAGACGATGATGGAAAGGAATGCGGGAGAGACTTGGACAAGTCTACAAAAACAAGTCATCCAGGGGATCTGATGATGAAAACATGCGCTGCTGCCTTATCGACAAATTGTAAAACATATACGCCATAAAAACCAAACATACTTCATGAACATTTGTATGCAACTCCAATGTCACATTTGGTATGTAACGGTACTTCGAAAGTGGTGAAAAAAATCCAAGTTGAAAGTGCAAAAGAATCAATCAATGATGGTGCTACCACAAGTTGACCATGTCAAAATGCTTTATTGAAGCCCTAAAAATAATAATTAAACAAAAATGTCCTCATGCAAAAATTGCATGCCAAAATAAAACAAAAGAAATAAAAACATAAATAAAAATACAAAACCAACCTGGAACATGTCCTAATTAAATATGTTGGCAAATTGAAAGAAAAGAGAAAAACAAAATTTAAATTTACCGGTAGATGGAGGTTTTGGGATTTTGGAGGTCGCGAATGTTAAATTTTCTCAAAGTTATTAAAAGCTTCTGAAAGAAATCGGGGTGCCAAGAACTGGCCATCGCAACAACCTGCCTGCCTGCTTGAGGAAAAAAAATGCAAAATAAAAGGTAGTTTTAACTTATTTTACAGCAAAATTTTTATTTTACGGCAAACATAATTATATCACAGCATGGTTTGGTCAACATTGAGGAGTGGCATTTAAAGAAAAATTTACTATTTATTCCCGAAATCTGTCACTTTTTTATAAAAAAATAAGATTGGATTTCAGAATTATGTTCACCTTAGAAAATGTTTTTCTGCATGTGGGCCTTTAACGTAGTCCGAGTTTTCTCTGTTGTTCAAAGAAGCCCACACGCTATCTCCGCAACAACGTCTGATATATGTGTGCTATGCACATTTATGCAGCCAGCCAATCGGAGTCGACTTTAGAAATTGTGACGTCACGGTCAGTTTGTGCAGAAATGCGAACGAAGTTGTTGATTGGTCAATTGGCTGCCATGATTTTGTAATACAACAGGTTACCGAAGAGGCGATAGAAGGTACCCGCTGAATGGTCAGAATCTGAAGGTCAAGACGTGGTGTTGTTCTGCATAATTAATCGCTGAATTATCATTCACGTAGGCGCTTGTGTGGCAGTGGATATTTCATAGACTACCTAGGCTACAATGTGGAATATCAGAAAACAGTGTTTGTAGAAAGGAGATGATTTGTACATTTTTTTCTCTCATTATTTTGTTTAGGGGGGGGGGGGGCGCCAACCCCTCCCCTCCCTGAAGATTTTACACTTGACCTTCGGCATAATGATTCATTTGCAGGAATTAAAATTATCATATACCGATGCCTTTCCAGGAAAGGTTGGGTGACAAACGTGTATTTTAATATCAGGGATGTTCACGTACAACATGTCTCTACAGCCTACCCTTCAAAGTGCCCTTATTACATATTGATTTTTTATATGAGCCAGACGGTTCATCTAGGTTAGCGATGCGAGGATTCCAAACTACATGTACACGCACTGTGAATTACATGCACCGCAGTCGCACCATTTTGCCTTGGTTTGCACTACTTTATTTTGTGATAACATTCAATAAAAAAATGGATTGATTCACAACAACATTCAATATTTTCAGGACATTTCGTCATGTTAGTTGTGAGTCATGCACTGCAGCCGAGGCTAAGCCTATGAGATGACTATACCACACACTCATCGGTGGCCATGTACATTGTAATAAATTAACCTTATTAGACTGATACAAGATACACATGTGCTTGTAAAATATGTAGAAGCCATTCCTTCAAGACATTTAGAATGTTACAAATCCTAAACACGTACATGTACAGGTGTTTTAATGAACATATTTCAGTAGTTTTTTTTCCCATTCTGTACAATATCCCTGAAAATATCAAGTACGGTATATTCAGAAGACATAAATAATTGTAATTCATTTGATTTTCTGTATGATAACTATTCATCATAATGCATTAAATGTGTTCATCATAAATGCAAAGTGATTTCTGCATATTTGCCTATCTTCCATTTTACGTATTGCATTCTGAAATACCTACTGTACATGTACCGGTAAGTGTATCAAAGCCAATTCCTTTCATTAAAAAAATTAAAAAATACAGCCTAAAATTGACAATGAAATATCTGTTAAACCAAAAGTTAAAAGGCAACAATTCTAAATGAAGATAAGATCTGACAAGTTCATTTAGTCATTAAACCAAAACCACTAACACCAACAGGTTTTAAATCTGTACACATGAAGACGTACCTCTTTTACAATTAAAGACACAAACTCAAAAAGCTTTTCTTCATTTTACCACCTTTGTATCTAGGCAAAATAAGCTACCAAACTCACAGTTAGAGAATACCCCAAATGTTGTGCATAATCTGTAAGGCCAAAAAAAAAGTCTCCGGTTTCTGGTATGGAGCTTGCCCTAAAAGTGGTGCGACGACGCAGCTTTTTTTTTCTTTTTCTTTTTTTTTTCTTCAAATGTTGGCTGATGATTGCAAATGGTGCCCGACTAAATTGAGTGCAAAATATATGGGAGTCCAGAGAGGCCACATAAAGCTTATACTAGATCGTAACCCCGTCTAAAAACACGTTAAAATTGTGCAGCAGCAGGATTCCAGTCAAACCAGTGAGTTAGGCAGTTTTTAGAAATCATCTTACATTGAAAAAAAAACTTTTTCATTTTGCCGACGCGCATGGCTATGGCGACGCGTGCGCATACCAGAAACAGGAGACTTTTTTTTTTGGCTTAACCTACCCTAGTTTGTCTACCAAGTCTCGAAGTTAGACAGACAATTTGTATGGCGCATTGTCCGCGGTCCACATTCATTTCCCCACAGAACCACAAATGAAAACTGCCCTTGCCACAGCAATCAATTTATCCACGGTTCGGCGCTTCCCTTTTGTGAGGCCCTTATTGTGGGACCATTTCCCAGGATTTGATGTACAACGCACTCAATGCAAATAAATATGAATACATGTGTACCTCCAGGTACATGTGTATTACCCTCGGCCTTCCGAGGTGTGCTAACCTGGAGCGCTAGACAATGACCACCAGCATTTGTTCAAATAACTATTCATATCTGACAAGTTTATTTCTCTCTTTCAATCTTTCTTTGCAATGTGTACACCTAAACATAATGCTGGCTTCCCATTTTTTTGGTTGGTGTGTAATAATTCAAAAACAGGGAACGGCCCCTTAGGTTATCAAACTCTCTCTCCTCGAATGCTGTCGCCCCGAATGTTTTTCGCCAAGCTCATACTATGTGGTTGTGAGTTGAAAAAAATAATAATCTGGGACTTCTGAACTTTTACAGGTGAATTTTCAAACAGAGTTTCAATTTCAGGTACTTCCAGTCAGAAACCTGTAGTGTATGGGCTCCGTGCGCCAATAAAGAGGGCGCCCTTTTGCCTAGCAACGACGTCCCATGTGTGTGACATTTAGCTGGCTGACGCGCATCGTTCCGCGTGTGTGACGCACGTACACCAGGGGATTTGAACTATGTACACGCAGTGGTACGGCCGCGCGTCGCGGCAAACTTGCAGTCAGGCAAGATGGCGTCGGTCGGTCACCCCAACTGTACTTTCTTTGCCGGTGAGGGGGTACTTGTGAACGGAGCGGATTCAGAATGGATGACATCAAACAGTGAAGCCTTTATGAACTGTCACGTGTATAGCATAAGTTTGTATTACAGTGGAATGTCGCTATATACCGAACACCGCTTTACCGAACATTCGGCTATACCGAACATCGTCCTTGGCTCTCGATTTCTGCATACAAAATGTACCGAATATTGTTGTTGAAAAATGTCAACAGAAGAGCGAAATGTGGCTATTATTTCTCCAAGGAGTAGAAGGGGAAAACCACCCATTGCTGTAGGTACCGGTAGTAAGCTCACAATCTGTGTAATTACATTATTCAAGAGTCGGCACGTGTTCAAAGTCATCTTTCAGTAACTACCAGGGCGTGCAGGGTGAAGTTCTGCAGGGCGCTATTTATCGCAAAATGAGTACCAGAGCACCGGTAGCTTAAAATCGCTATCCCAAACCATCGCTATTGCTATTACGAACAATTTCTGTGGATCCCGCGATGTTTGTTATAGCGACGTTCCACTGTAATGAACCAAAATACACCTTGTGTCCATGTAAAAACTTGTGATACAATGTGGTAGCAAGGTTCATGCTTTCAAAATGATTTGTAAGGTTGACATAGCCAACAAAAACATTTTCTTTTGGTGGTATGTGGTGTCAAATGGGGAATATTGGTGCAAAAGTTTTGCACATTTTGTTGATGCCGTGTCTGCTCAAATGAGATCTGTAGAATTCAGAACTAGGACAAGACTTTTTCTTTTTCCACACATAGATGATGTACATACACAATACATTGTAAATACCAAAAAAATTGTGCATATATTGAGTAATTAACACACATGTAAATGTATTTGAGCATGTACAATGTATGCACTTTAGTCAATACACATACCAGGAGCAAGACCAACCAGCTTCAAGCTATGCAACACCCACACGATTTACCTTTAAAAAAGATGAAAGCCCCTGCTTAAAATATTTACAACCACTCTGCTGGCTTGGATGGCCCGGCCACATAAAAATCTGGCCTCTGTATTATTGCCGCAAGTAAGCCACCCGTGAAACAAAAATCCCCAGCAATAGCATTCCTTCGAGGTTTATTGATAAGGCTGTTACGGCCTGTGTATCTTGACAAACAATCTCCACAAATAGCTCTCCTCCAAAAAAAGTTGGCCTTTTGACTCCCCGCCTTCACATCAAACCACCAGGCCCTACCGGTGCCTCTAGGGACTAGTTGAACCTGGCACTAGCAAACTCCTGATATTTTTTTTTTTCAGCCAACTTTGTTTTTATTTAAAGGGCCCCTTTACTATATATATTTTTTAATGAAATCCTTGAAAATGCACAATTTGCAAATTGTGTCCCATTTACATACTTGTAGCTTCAATCTTAGTACTGCCATTCTCGAGGGTGTTTTGGTGCCTTTTTTGGTTTTTATGCTAATTACACATTTCCATATTCATGAGCAAAACTGTGATGTCATTATAGGCAGAAATCTCAGGTTACAGCTACAGGGTACTTCAGCATCAAAATTTGCCAGAATTGTTCTGTTTTTGGGTGATTCATATTTTCAGCACAGTTTAAGTCAATGAGCAAACTTTTCTCAGATATTTTTCCAAAGAGCAAATTTCATTTTTGGGGTTTTTAAATTTTTTTCTTCACAATTTGAACAGAAAATACCTAAACTGAAGAGTGTGCACCTAAAGTGACATCACGGCAACAGCGCCCTCAGCTGTCAGGAAAAGCATGAAACATTTTCAATTGTTCAGAGGTGCGTTTTGGCGATCATAACCAAGAA